AACCACCTTCCTGACATTTTCATCTATATCCTACTATCACCTCAAACTCAACACATCCTAAACTGAACTCACTGTCTCTCCCCTATAATCTGTTCCTTTTCCTACTGTAAGCTCCCCATTTCAATTGCTGCCTCCACCTTTCTCCCAACTTACAAGTTTAGAACCTGAGTCATCTTTGACTTTCTTCTCCCTTTCTGGCTTCTACCCTCACACAGTTGATTGTCAAGTCTAACCTATCCTACTCCTGAGATCTCACCATAATCTATTCTCACCACTTTGACTCTAGTTCAGGCAGACCCTTATTTATCTTATGATTGCAATATAGTTTTTGACCTCATCAATCAACTGAAACTGTTTTCTCCATAGTTATTGATGATCTCTTAAGCACCAAATCTTTTCTTAGGTCTCATCCTTCTTGAACTCAGTATTTGATATTATTGACTACTCTCTCCCCTTGGAAACTTTCTCCTCTCTGGGTTCTCATGAAACTACTCTTTCCTTGTTCTTTCCTTCTATCTGCCAGAATCCTCCTGAATCTCCTTTCTTGGCTCATAATCTATATCAAATCCCCTACTGATGGGTATTCCACAAGACTGTCTTGGGCCTTCTTCTCTTTCTACATACACCAGTCTTTTCCTTGAGCTTCAACTCTACATCACAAATTGCCTATTGGACATTGCAAACTGGATATTTCGTAGAGCTCTTAAACTCAATATGTCCAAAATGGAATTCATTAGCTTTATACTCCCCCTTCCTCCACAACCCACCCTTCTACAAAACTTCCTTATTTCTATCAAAGGTGTCAAAGTTTTTCCAGCTTTCCAGATTTTTGTCCTCATCTCTTTACTGTCCTTTACCCCAGAAATCCATTTGGTGGCCAAATCTTGCCATTTCTTCCTCTATGATATTGTTCACATCTGCCTTGTTCTGTCTACTTACTCAACTACTACCTCAGTTCAGATCCTTACCTCCTTTTGCTTAGATTGTTTCAATAGCCTTTTAACTGATCTTCACTTCAGTCTGTCTTCCACACAGCTATCAAAGTGATTTTCCTTTGATTTTCCTTTCCACAGGTCTGACAATGTTACTCCCACATTCAATAAATTCTAGTGTTTTTTGTTTTTATTTTTACCAGAAAACACTTACTATGAAACTCTTTACCAACAGAGGCTACTCAGTATGACCATGGCACACAAAAGACACTCTGAAAAGGGACAGGCAGACACTAAGTACCCTGGCTTCCTCAGGGGCTTGTCAGTCTTTATACTAGAAAAAACACACACATACAATAGTCATGCCATGTTGTTTCCTAGGAGTCCTAGAGAACACAGCTGCCACTTTCTCAAGTCTGGGAAACTTACATGGGTTTAACTGTAGCTCAACAAATAACTCAATCTTTTTTTTTTTTTTTTGCTTTTTGGTGAGGCAGTTGGGGTTAAGTGACTTGCCTGGGGTTACACAGCTAGTCAACTCCTTCTTTACAAAGGCATCAAGGCTTTGGCAGGTTACATTTTCTGTCCATCAGCAGCCAGTAATGGTCTTTTCTAGAAACTCCCCACATACTCCACCTACTGAGCTCCATAAGTTATTTAAATGGCAAAATATTTGCTCACAATATGTTTGTCTTGGTCCTCATATCTCAGAGACTTCTCTAATTGTGATAATAATACTGTCTTGTTGAAATCCATCAAGGATTTACAAGGCTCAAGTCAGGTGCCATCTCTCCTTTGTAAAACTTTTACTCATCTCACCATTGCTCTCCCATCCCCCACCCCAGCACCTTGCAATTTCAATATTCTTTACCTGTAACATTTACTTAACATCATCTTTCTGTAACCCAACACAGTATAATTATTCACATATATAGCTTATTTCTGCCTATTAGTCTTTTGAAAAAAATTAAAACATTAATGTCATTTTCTCTTACTAGATTCTAAAGCCCCGTCAATGAACCCTGTGACCAACACAAAGCAGGTGCTTAATGCTTGTTGAATTGAATTACGAAATATGAGATGATGATATATACTTGTTTCCAGAAATTAGTCAGTTCTAAAATCAGTACCCAACTCTTATCATCAAAATTAAACATACTTGTGTTCCTCAATGGTTAAGAAGGTTCACCTTCAGTGCCCAGAATGTAGAAAAAGCCAGTTAGGTTTTACTGCTAAAAGAGGGAAAATTTGGAAGAGTGGATAAAAGTTGACAAATTCAGGCTACCTTTGGCTGCTACTTATCGCCCTCTCACAAACACTTAATGGAGGATTTTCTGACATCACTGACAAGTATCATCTTGTTCTCCATTCTTATATCAAATCTGTCACTTAGGACTCTAAGGCTTTGTCCACCTAATGCCAAAATAACGAGTCAGTTGAATAAGTTGTATACAGGGTAGCTATTTTAATGAAACCAGCTCAATGGGAAGGGCTAGGTAATTTGTTTAAGTAACAGTGGGGTCAGCATGCATCACTAATAAGTGGACTAAAGAATTCATCACCCAATGGTCTGATCTGAAAAGCTTCCAATGTAAACTACATTTAATTCAGATTGTCTACCCTGTTACATGGTTTGTGCATGTTCTAAATTGAGCTTAACCCTTCACACTCAATTTGTGCTTAAGGCATGCAGAAAACATGGAGGTGAAAGAATGTTGGCCAAGGCTTTAGCAGGGATGAAAGGCTTAGAGAGAGCCTCCAGGCCTTATAGCCCAACTTCCCTTGCTTTGTTAGTGCCCATAAAAAAGGCCTAATAAGGACATGAGATAAAGGGAAGTTATAATTCTGGTAGAGGCCATGTGGGTTAGTGGTATGAACACGAAGTTATAAGACTCAGTTTGCATCTTGGTCTTCCCACTTACTGTGTGACTATAGAAAAGTCAACTTCATTGAGCCTTAATTTTCTCATCTATAAAATGGGGATAAAATGTGCCCTGTCTAACCTGCTGGTTTGTTGTGAGTATCAAATGTGATAAGTCTATTACAAAATGTCACAATGTAATGCATAATTATTCTTACCAAATTTTAATGAGAGGTAGTAGAGTGGAGTGGATAAGTGACCTGGCCTCAAACTGAGGAAGGCCCTGTCTTCTTCCCTAGTCCCTCCCCTTCCCAACCCTGCTGTGGCAGCACCCCTCTTTCCCCCACTCCCAAATTCCTAGATGTGTAGCCTTGGGCAAGTTTCAACTCTTTAAAATTATAAATTTAAAGAAGATTCTGACTGTCATTGGTGAATGGAGCTTCTTCACTTGGGAGAAATAACAGTTCTAGTACCTATTTCTACCCTAATTTTAATATAATATTTTTTAGCAGGAATGGCAGGGTAATCTTGGGAAACACATTAACATTGTGTATGCATGCCTTTAGTGGTACTAATAGGCTTTTTAGTATTAAAAAAAATATCTAAAGCAAATAAGTGCAAAACTTCTAGCAAGACTGTTTTCCTGACCTGGGCATTGCAAAAATGAATGACAGAATTTAAGCTAGAATTAACTGAAATTTTGGGTCACTTATCAGTTGCCTAAAGTTAAGGATTACTGCAAGTTAATTTTAATTCAGTTCATTTAGATTCAAAAGGCATTAACTGAGCTTCTACTATGTGTCAGGCACCTATGAGATGATAGTGATACAAACAGAAGAAAAAAAAAGTCTCTGGCATTCTTTTTGCAAACGTTCTGTCCAAGGTAGAATTTTCTTTAACTTTTTAGACTTTCTTATTCCAACTAGCAATTTGTTTACCTGCAACCTTGGCTGGTTTTTTTATGGCCAGCAGTTAGTGGTGAAAGCCAGGATGACCTGTGGATAAGGGATGCTTTGTGTTTCATTATGCAAGGGTGTCTCCCTCTCTCTTTACTAATATGCAGGAATCTTCTTGCTATTGTCTGAAACAAGCAATGCTCATTGTCATTTATAACAAAATGCTAGGAAAATCTGTAGCGGAGCTCCTCCTGACACATTTTGCCATTATTTCTCCAGATACACACTCTAGTTGTTGTGTTTAATGGGAAACATCTCAATGCTAGCTGCAGCACTATTTCTCAAAAAACTGGTTATAGCAAGTTTCTTCTATCAAGCTTCAGAGCACTGAAAAAAACAGGCTTCTTTCTGGGTTTTAACCTTGTCTATAGTTATCTATCGCTATACCTTTTAAGTTCCTTCTTCTGACTTTTTACCACAGGGCTTTAACCTGATAGGAAAAATATCTAGCAAACAATGGGCATTGCAATGGAAGCCATAAAAAGCGACATACAGGCTAACTGGACTAGTTAATTAGTGTTTGCATATGCACACTGCTCAACTGAGCGGCCAAGCTCCTGAGACCTTTTGAAAGGCTTAAAAACAGGCTTTTAAAAGGAATGTAGACTTTAAAATCATGGCAGTTGAAAACCAACAGGAATGTTTTTATGTGAAGTATTTCTGCTTTAGCACCTTTTAAAAGTTAATAGATTCTAACTGTATTCTTGGTGATTGGGAAGGCAGTTTCCTTAGTGAAAAGATTAGCATTTTGGTGGGTGGGAAATTAAGGGAAATCTAATTTAGGATCCTAAGCTGCAAAAGGCAAATTAAGGCAGCAGCAAGTGCTCCCCCATTTCCCATTTCCCGCTCTCCTCCCCGTTTCCCCTAGAAAGCCTAGTAATCAGGACCAGCCACACAGGAGAGGCTAGGAATACTGCTTTGGAGTTTAGATTAACAAATAGGTTTTGTTCTCTTTTCAAACCCTGTCTGCAGGCAAAAAGAAATGACCAAGAATCAAGACCAACCAAATTATAGCTATGGTTTGGTTAAGAAAAGGCATCTCTAAGTGCTTTAAAAAAAAGCACCATGTAAATCTAACTTGGAATGTGCTTATTCTGGGGAACATGCTCAGCTGCCCACGCAGCATTTCAAAACACATGTTTAGAGGCACATTCATAATTGCATTCTCTTGGCGCCTGATTTTATAACCAACCCAGATATGAATGAACACTGCTGAAATTTTAAGAAAGACACTTTTGCTATCATAAATACCTCAGGGGAAGGGTACCCGGGAATGGAGGGGCATGCATCTCCTCTGGAGACAGCTGTGTCTATGCAGTTTTCTCCTCAGTGCCAGGTTACCTGCAGTTAGAAAAAGAAAAACATTTTTTTTGCTGACACCCCAGAAAATCATATGTCATGTTGCTGGAGCATGCAAAGAAATCTTCTAGAATCAGGCTGCCTGGTAGTCAATTGCTTTTTGCTAGGCGATAATTCATATGACAAGGGGCAGCAGGATGCATAATTCACATGTATTACTAAAATGCTAACAAGGTAATCAGAATGAATCAAGGAGGGCATTTTCAAGCTCAGTGTAGCCAGGGCTGTCATCTTTACTCTTAAAGGGCTGCTTACTTAAACAGAACTTGCCCTTTAAGTTTCTGTCCAGTGAATTAATCACCAATATTTTACAAGAACCTTGACCAAAGTAAACTTCATTCTACAGACTTCGGCATGTTGAAGAACTGAAAGCCATAAACAATGGAACAGGGCTCATTTGGAAAAGTGCATTTTTCTTGTGAATGTCAGAGGGCATACCACATGGATACTGGTTGCGATTTATTCTCTGAGTGAATGAATGAGCTTTTGGCCAACAGCAACAAAAAAGGTAGTCTGTACTGGAGACAGTCATGAACATGTGGTTAACCCTGTGGTCATTCTCTGGATAACCTTTTCTCTATCTTAACTAGAGTAGTAGTGTATACTCTTATGTACCCATTTACTTACACTTTGTCTTTTCAGTTTAACATTTCAGTTGCCTACTTTTAAAATGTCCCCTGACAGGAAACTTAACATATGATCTCATTATTTGAACTTGTTAGTTTGAGTCCCATGGCTTAGAAAAGTAACTCATATTCTTACTATGATGGTTGCCATTTTTTTGGAACCATGGATGTAAAAGGATATTAGCATGTTCTCTTGATTTTCTTTGAAATATAAGTTCCCTGAGGGCAGAGATTGTTGATGTGTTTGTTTGTTTAGTCTTTGTATCCCCAGTGCCTACCACTGTGTCTGATGTGTGTTAGATGCTAAGCAAATATTTGTGGGATTGGTATGATTTTATAATATACCAATTTTATTAAAAACCCTGGTGGCCCAGCACCATAATTGAGATCATTACTGAAGAAGATACTTAAAGCAAAGAAATACTATGCACCAAAAGTATGTATGTCTGCCATACCCAGAACATTTTTGTTTTACATTCATAAAAGCACTACTAGAACATTGCTTGCTCTCTTTTTTTTTTGCTTTTTTTTTTTGTTTATTTCAAGAGAACCACCTCAATTTTATTGCTAGAGATAGAATAGCTACTGCCCTTAAGCAAGTTCAATTGCTTTCTGCTACACAGTGATTCAATTAAGGTATAAAAAACCCAGTTAAGCTTAGCAGATCCCAGTCTTCAGCAAAGGTGCTTAAATGAACTGTTTAGTATTCTACCACTTAGCTATACAAATAAGATTTTATTTAGCACTTTAATGAGCACACCAATTTTCCGGATGGTCAGGACTGCAAAAAAAAAAGATCCCAACAGCTTGGAGTTTAGTGTTTTGAACTCGGTGATGCAAAACTTATATATCTCATTTATCTATATTTGTCTTCAGCTATCACTTTAACGGTCCATCAAAGTAATTAACCAGAGAGTAAAACATGCTTTGGAATTCATAAATGTTTCCTCAAGTCACTATCAATTTTCTCCAGAAGACAAAGGTATATAGATATACACACACCACCGCACACATATACTATACATACGTATGCATATCAATATGTAGACATATCACATATCAGTATGATGCAATTCAAATACGTTAATGTAAAAGTCCTACCTGTCCTTTGTCCATTGATAAGGAGTATACCCATCGTGAAAAAAAGGAATAGAAAAAAGAGCAGCTGAAATCTCATTTTGCTGCCACACGGAAAGCCAGAGCACTCCCAGAAAACCAAACAATCCTTTAAATACTCCTGCAGTATCTGTGTGGCTCAGCTCTCAATTCTAATGACAAACCTCAGAGTGAGTCGCCAGCTGTGCCTTCCAGCAAGGTTAATGATCACATAAGACAAGGTTACTGGTGCTGCACTGTGGTCAGTGCCTCCCTCTTTCCTCAACCCCCTCCTGCACCCCCCCCTCTCCCTTTTCCTGTCACTCCCCTTTATTTTCCATAAGCAAATAATGGTGAAATGGAGCATCCCAGTAAACAACCACTTCACTGGGGTCTACTAGCTTTCCTAAAGGAGAATGCTAAGACTTCCCTTTAAATTCAACCTAGAAATAGAAAAATATGTAAAACAAGGCATGATACTGCCCCCTCCCCTTCTCCATTTGCAACTGTTTAAACTTTGCATTGCCCATATTGGTCCCACATGCAGAAAGTAATGGGAATGACAGGAAGTCTCTCTTTTGTCCCTCTCAGAAAGAATTCTGCAGCCCTTACTTAAGAACCCCTAGTGCTTTGAGGCAGGGCTAGCTGCTGAAATGCTTTCTGTTCCCCAAACTAGCTGCAAAGTGGTGGCTATTCAGGGGGGAATTTGTAAACTACAAAATCTGGTGTGCCTTTTGTACCATGAAGTGTTCTTAGGGTTCAGCATAGGCTGAAATTAGTCTTGAAAATCCTGAGTTTAGAAAACAAAAATTAGGTGTAGAAAGTGGCCCTGACAGATTTATTTTAAGGAAAAAAACCACTTTCACTGCTGGGGGAAAAAAAGTCAGTCAAAACCAGTGGAACATGACTAGTGCTCTATTCTTTTACAATGGCTGTGAACAGGAATTAGAAAAGAAGGAAATATAGGCAAGTTCAACCCCCTGACAGACTCCGGATTTTCACCTTTATGTTAAAAAATTGTTGGATCTCTTACACACATTACAATTTGGCCTTGGTAAGCAGTAGGTATGCTGCTATTGCTGGCGCCATTTGAAGAAGACAATATACTTTGGAAGTTAACCAGAATGAATGATGATGTGATGGGAAAGTGCCACAAGCAGAAAGGATAACTTTGGCTATAATTCATAAATAATTTTTTTGTATTTAATTCCAGGTTCACTGTTAGAGCTATATACATGGCTGCAAAAAAGTTGATTGAACATATTTGGTTGGATAATGCAAACGCTAAGTGCTTACAATGTGCAAGTTAGAGAATTGGGCTCCTTGTGGGATATTAAGATGCATTAGATGAGATCTCTGCCGCCAACAACAACAGCAGCAGTAGCATTTAAAAAGTGCTTTACAAATGTTAGCCCATTGGACTGAAGAAGTTTAGGGGTGGGAGTGGGGAGGGATGTGGGGGGGAAGATAGATGCATAGATAATTATATCATAAATTAAAATCTAAGTTCATAAGATGAGTGAAAACAACATCCTATGGCCAGGACTTGAAGTTTTGTTTTGTTTTGCTGGGGGGATGGGGAAGGCTTTATATATGAGCAATCACCAACCTGGTTCCCTGAACAGTAGTTAGGATTTGGTGAGTTAGAAATTGAATTGTAGAAAGGCAAAAGGGGGAGAGAAGAGTTCTCTTCTTTTAAGAGAGTGGATGGTACAGAGGAAAGAGCACTAACTCTGATATCAGAAAACCTGGGTTTTGATCCCTCCTCAGACTCTTAACTGTAGGACTTTGGACAGATCACTTAATCTTCTCTTTATTCTCACTTCTCCATCTGTAAAATAAGGAGATTGGGTTAGATGGTCTTTGAGGTTCCCTTTAGCTCTCCTTCTGTGACACTGTGAATCTATTCTAAGTTAGTACATTATAAAAACAAACAAAGAGATACGGAATAAGATGCCAGGAATACGGAGAATGGTTTTCCAGAGTGTATAGACTACATTGTGTGGTAAAGTGGTATCACCGATGAAAATTTTTTGCTTTATTTAAGTTTCCCAGGTTTAGATGGTTAGTAGTGACCCTCCTGTTCTTTTTTTTTCCCTGTTGTTCTACTTCCGGTGAGGCAGTCGGGGTAAAGTGACTTGCCCAGGGTCACATAGCTAGTAAGTATCAAGTATCTGAGGCTGGATTTGAGCTCAGGTCCTCCTGACTCCAAGGCCAGAGTTCTATTCACTGTACTACCTACCTGCCCCTCCCTGTTGTTCTTTGGGCTTAAAATCAATCCATAAAGTTATCCTGAATCTAGAAAACAGTTCATAATCTTTTACTTAGTTAACTAATTTCATTGAAACCATAAACATATAGAAGTTTCCAAAATAAAAACTTCCGTAGTGTCTCAAAACTTATCAGTGTTTCTAGACTTTTTACTTGAAATAACTTAGAATTTGTCCTTATTTCCTTCTGAGTGCTTATATCCCATCTTTTCCCCTCCCACACACAGTGTAATTCATGAGTTGAAAGAATTGTAGCATTTCAGGCAGCATGTATTTACCACTTAATATGGATTACCAAGTGAGGTGTTCAAGTCTTCTCCCTCTTTTAGGATATAACTAACACTAACATTACCCACAAGTTCACAGAGAACCAATTTTTTCATCTGCCCAAGAAATGCCATCTTTCAGTTATATCTTACCTTCTGTGTCTAGGTGTGGCCCATTAACAATGGCTCAGCTTTAGGGAAATCCCTGTGATAGCCTTATGGGAAAAGGATTGGCTAGACATCACCCACTGTACCTGCCCTTGCATTACAATAGTTTTCTTAATATTCTCTCCCTTTCCCCACCTGACACTTCCTCAGGTTTAGATGTCCTGAGATCATACTTCTTTTCTAGCATGTAATTCTCTTTAAATACTTTTTTTATTTTTCAATTAACAAGAGTTTATTTTCTCTTCCTCCCATTGGGAAAAAAAGGAAAAGAAACCTCTTGTAACAAATATCTAGTTTGTAGGTCTCAAACCATTATTGTGTATATTTAAAATCTATCATATTTTAACATATTTCTTAGTAAAAACCTTGAGGTGTGGGGTGGTGAGAGGACTCATCCCCTGGTCCTATTTCAGCAGGAAAACCATAAAGGAACTATAGTTTTTGGGTGTATTATCACTTTAAAGGCATGGCTACATAAAATTCGTTAAATACCATTGGGCCTGTTATACAGTATTACTCCACAAATGACAAGGGACGCCATCAACTAGGACTGGACTTTTTTTTTTAATTTTTAATTTTTCTCCGGTTACATACATGTAAAAACAATTTTTAACATTTGTTTTAAAAACTTTTTCAGTTCCAAATTCTCTCCCTTCCTCCCCAACCCCATTGAGAAGGCAAGCAATTAGATATAGGTTATACATGTATAGTCATGCAAAACATACCTATAATAGTCGATGTTGTGAAAGAAAACATAGACAAAAAATTTCAAGAAAAAATAATGTAAAAAAAAGTATGCTTCTATCTGTATTCAGATCCATCAGTTCTTTCTATGGGGATAGAGAGGACTTTTTAATCATAACTCCTTTAGAGTTGTCTTGGATCATTGCATTGCTGAGAATAGCTGAGTCACTCACAGCTGATGGTCTTACAATATTGCTGTTACTTTGTACACAGTACATTCACTTTGTATCATTCCATGCAAATCTTTCCAGGTTTTTCTGAGAGCATACTGCTTATCATTTCTTATAGTATAATAGTATTCCATCATAATCACATATCACAACTTATTTGACCATCCCCCTCAATTTCTAATTCTTTGTCCCCAGAAAAGAACTATTGTAAATTTTTTTACACATATAGGTCCTTTTCCTTTTTACCTCTCTTAGGATACAGATGTATCTGTAGTATTGGTAGGTCAAAGACTATACGTGGTTTTATAGCCCTTTGGTCATAAGTCCAAATTGCTCTACAGAATGGCTGAATGAGGTCACATTTCCACCAACAGTACATTAATGTCTCATTTTTCCCACATCCTCTCCCCCATTTGTTATTTACCTTTCCTGTCTGATTAGCCAATCTAATAGATATGAGGTAATACCTCAGAATTGTTTCAATCTGGATTCCTCCAATCAATACTGAGTTAGATTATTTTTTCATTGTGCTATAGAGAGCTTTGGTTACTTCATCTGAAAACTGATGAATTGGGGAATGGCTCTTATTTTTATAATTTGACTCAGTTCTGTATATGTTTGAGAAATGAGGCCTTTATCAGAAAAACATGTATCAAAATTTTCTTCTGTAGTTACTATTGCTATTTCCCTCCATCCTATTCCTCCCTCCTGTTTATTCCATTCTCTCTCCTTTCACCCTGTTCCTTCTCAAAAGTGCTTTGCTTCTGAGTATTTACTCCCCCAATCTGCCTTCCCTTCTATCTCTCACCCCACCCTTATCCCCTTCTTGTAATTTCTTGTAGGGTAAGATAGAATTTTATGCCCAATTGCATGTATTTTTATGCTCTGTGAGCCAAGTCTGATGAGAATAAGGTTCACTCATTACCCGTCATCTCCCTGTCATCCCCTCCATTGTAAAAACTTTTTCTTACGTCTTTTAGGTGAGATAATTTACTCCGTTCTACCTCCCTCTTTCTCTTTCTCCCAGTACAGTCCTCTCTGACCTCTTAATTTTGGACCCAAGACTTCTATTGCCAAATGTAATATAATATAGTACTTAGCAAACTCTTCCCAATGGATATTAAATTGAATTAATTAATTGGATTAAAAATTTGAAAAAGCTAACATCTTTTGGAAGACTGTCAGATAAGAATATCCTTTCTTTTGAAAACATTAATTTGCTCTTTATTTTTATTTTTTAAAAAGAATCAGTGCATTAATTTTTGGTCATATTTACTGTTTTAAAAATAGATTTTTATTGATATTTTCATTTTTCCATTGCCTAGATTTTCCCCTCCCTCCTCTCCTTATTATAAGAAAAACAAATTCAAAAGAAAAAAAAGAAGAGAAGAAAAAAAGCACCACAATACATTTATAAAATATGACATTATATACAATCTAGACTCCTTCCCCCAACACACTTGCAAAGGAGAGGAGAGGGATAATCTTCTCATAACTCTTCTTTGTGGACAAGCTTCTTTTTTGTAACTTTACAGTGTTCATTTTCACATGTTTTACAGTGACTGTTCTTTCTATTGACTTTGCTGCTGTCATTGGTTATATATTTTTTGGGCTGTGTTTATTTCACGATGCACCAGTTAATGTAAGTTTT